TGACGTTATGATTCCTAAGTTTCACGTTATGATTCCTAAGTTTCACGTTATGATTCCTAAGTTTCACGTTATGATTCCTAAGTTTGACATTATGATTTCTGAGTTTAACATTATGATTTCTAAGTTTAACATTATGATTTCTAAGTTTCACTTTATGATTTCTAAGTTTGACATTATGATTCCTAAGTTTCACGTTATGATTCCTAAGTTTGACGTTATGATTCCAAAGTTTCACGTTATGATTCCTAAGTTTGACATTATGATTTCTAAGTTTGACGTTATTATTTCTAAGTTTCACATTATTATTTCTAAGTTTCACGTTATGATTCCTAAGTTTCACATTATGATTCCTAAGTTTCACGTTATTATTTCTAAGTTTCACGTTATTATTTCTAAGTTTCACGTTATGATTTCTAAGTTTAACATTATGAGTCCTATACAGATTTTTATAAAAACTGCCTATAACTGAATAAAATTTTAAAAAGTCATTTACATATTTGAAAAATTAAAAACAATTTCACAAAAACTCAGAAAATTGTATTTTAAAATTTTAAATGCTTAAACAAAATTAATGATATCTGCATATCTGAATCTCACTTCCATGTATGAAATATTGAGTTTATTTCTCTTTCTCTTTTCATGTATGATGTCAATTAAAAATTTGTGTTTTGAATTTTTTCAACCTCCTTTCAACATGAGTAGAAGGGAGTTTGGTTGCTATCAATGAATATTACCTCTACTGTTTGCAAACACTAATATAGTCAACAAATAGGAAGGACATCACGAAACCTCTAGAAAAAATAATTAATTTACACACACACACACTTAGATACAATAAATAAATCCAGACAGTTACTTGTCTATTTCATACAAGTCATTTCAGTATGAAGGAATCTCTGGATTAGAAAATATAAAGTTAGAATAAAGATTAAATTATTAAAATTGTAATGATCCATATAAATATCAATAATAGTAGAAATATATAAATATATTTTCCCAGAAATGCTATTCACCTCTTCACAGAACACATAGCTAATACCTTGTCCCACTACCAAAGAGTTTTTGTGTATACACCAAGCTTTTGAACAACACTTCCTCACCTACTTGTGATAATGTGTACTATATACTCTAACGCAATCAGCATTAGACTATACTCATCCACTAATAGGAGGGCAATGCATCCTCCATGCAAATTACTCTCCTTGAGCTTTTGTGTATACCAAAAGCTTATTCCTGATGAGGCAAAATGCACACACCCACCAGAAGTGAATATCTATCTGAAATACATTTTCAGGTAAGAAAAATGATTTTATGAATACTATGAATACTATTCGCATTTTATGAATACTACTCACATATCCACCAAACAAATGGCTAAAATCCGACATTGAGAAGATGGAGGAGGGCACCAGTGTAGACAAAGAAATTATAAAGATCAGCTCCTTTCTGAGAATATAGTGACAGAAAGAGAAAACTCATGGAATGTGTCACTCACTTGGGGGAGGGGAGATATACTGAATCACTCAGTTGGAAATCACATTCATCTCAAGCAGAGAATACTCTTTGCCCAATAACATAGTAGTGAAGAAAGATACTGTCAAAAGTATCTCCTGTAGATTGCCATGAGAAGAAATTTTGGGGTGGTCAGGCTATTGTCACATTGCCATTTCTAGGGAGGGTCTCGGGACATAACCCCCCCCCCAGAAATTTTTTTAAAAATGTAATGCTATGATATTGAATCTTGAGCCATTTTAACTACAAATACTGCATACACACACAACATAATGTATTGAATTAAAAGAAGCAAGTTTTAATACATAAGTTGTAGCTATATATGCCATGAAAAAGTAGTCAGGCCAAGGCCTGACTGATTCCTACGGCCCTGCTGCATAGTGCTAAAGTTTCACAAAGGTAGGCAGAATGTGAAGGTTGCTCAACTGGATTGTATATCTCAGAGGTCAGCAGACCATGTACATGTAGTGTGGCTAGGGCAATAAATCAAGCTATATTGTATCTGATAAATATGCGATATACCAGAATAACAGGTACATGGATGAATAACCCCAGACTTGCATCCCAAGAAGAAAGCAAGATCCACATCTCTGGTCACAACAACTGAGAATAGTCCATTTCTTAGCCTGTACTATACTTCCAGTAAGATTATACTCCATATCGATCTCCACAGTGGCTTGGTACTGGGAAAGCAAAGGTTCTCCTAATCCACCAGAATACAACAGGAAAAAGGAATTTGCGTAGGGGAGAACACCAGAGAAGTTCATGAACCAAACAGGAATAATCTATTACCTGCATAAGAGTCCCATACTGAGAGACTGTACAATGGGTTATTACAAATAAGGACAGCAGAAACTAGCCAGGTGTGAAGACAGGGAACCACATGTGGAGCAATTTCCTTGTTTGTTTGTTTGGAAGTAACATTGTGGCTTGGAAGGTAAAGTATATAAACTCATGAAACAGTATTGTGAAAAACAGTAGCCACTGAGCAGGGACAGATGGGCTTAACACTTTCTGTTATCCCCTACTCAATGCAAATTTTGAGAGAGAGAAGTATTACCTGTGAGACAACACCAGTCAAATGGCGAGTTCCATTATCTACAATGTATATATATATATATATATAGATAAATATATATAATGTGTGTGTGAAGGTTGCAACAAAATTAAATAATTAACAACTCATCTCTTTAGAGCCTTTGAAAAGATTGAAGAATGGCAACTAGAGGGCGATGAAATCCAGGCAGTGTGGTGTTAATAATGTGCACACACAAAGATAGGGGGTCATCCACATTCTCACCCTCAATATCTAATTCAACAGAAGCCAATGGGACAAAAGAAGCCATGATATGATGAACTTGATGGGAGATGACATGAAAAGATGAAATGAGTCATCTCCAATAAAGGAATAGGTAAGTCAGATGAATTGTTTAATCCAAACTGTTAGGGTGTTTGGAGATAAGTCACAGGAAGGAAAAGCATTCCACAGCAGCAACAACAACAAAAATGTTCAGATCCTTGAAAGGAAGCAATGCAAGCAGGAAAACAGAAAACTGCCCAAACATAACAAATTAGATGATCAGGGTTTGAACGGCCATACAGAACAAGAAAGGGAAGGGAGGTTGAGAAAAAGAAAGAAAAGATACCAAGAGAAAATAACTCCCTGTCAGATGATGTAAAAATTGAGACTGGAGTTGTCAGAACAGATAAATACAGGACATCCAGATAGTTGTAACAAAGGATGGTGGGAGGCCCTTTGAGTTGCTTACATTTCAAGAACATTGATGTAGAAAGACTGTTTTACAGGAGGCCAAATACTGAAAATGATGAAGGTATCCAGAACTATACCCCACTCAGTTAGACAGGCATCTGTGAAAAGGTGTACGTTTGGGCAAGGTGGGGGAAGATGGATGCTCAGAATCATGTGGAAATGTTTGAGCCACCACCAGCAAGAGGTAAAGAGATGGAGTTAGAGAGAAGAAAGAGAGGACAGTGGATCACTGTGTATATTCTACTGATCTGCCAGAATCTATTTAAGAAAACACAAATGTTATGCCCAGAGGAATAAAGGACACAAGAAAGGCAACAATCCCCAAAAAGAGACAGAACCTCACAAGTAAGAAGGAAAGGAGGCATTAGAGCCTTGGAAACCAGAAGCTCTGTATCTCAGAAATGCAAAGGAGAAATTTGAGCCATTCAGCAAACAAGGTGATAAAGACTCTGAAAAATAAATCAGGTACTGAATTTAGAGTCAATAGTGACTGAGGAACCTAAACAATCAACTCCATGTGAAAGCCATCAGGACTTAGTTGAAAACAGACAGGTGTGAACCTGAAAAGACAAAAGAGAAAACCTGTGCGGCCCAAGGGTTTTCTGCAAAGTAAGTTCACAGGTGGACAAACTGTAAGAGCCAAGCTCCCACAGGACCAAATCCGATGAGTGGTTCCAGAAACAATTGATCACCAAGCCCCATAATGGCTGGCATCTGAGGATGGGAGGAAACCAGAACAGAAAAGGGCTGCAAGATGAGACATTCCCTAAAAAACTGCTTCATAAAAGAAGGTTGACAAATAGAGTTCCCTGAGATAAAACTGTGAGAGGCTAACTTCAAGAAATAAGGCATCCTGATGAAGCAAATCCAACAAACAGAGAGAGCAAGTGAACTAAACAAACAGCTGAAGAAGAAATGGGGTAGCATGAAGAACATATTAGTGTGGCCTTCCCCAATAAAGCTTTCACAATATATTCTATGAACATTCTTGTGCATTTTTAAATGTTGGAGGTCTTATTTATTTTATGAAAGCTTTTACAGTTGTGATGCAGAGCCTCAGAAAGAAAAAGTAAAAAGGACAGCAAATTAAGAAGGTCAATAAGCAAAAGATAAGGACAAACAGATTGGGGGTAAAAGAGAGTCAAAGGAATAGTAGAAAAAAATCCACAAGCTGGGAGAAAGGATTCAAAGTAAATGAACACTATAAAAGAGGAAGAATTCCAACCACAGACCACAGAGAAAGTGTCTTAAGTTTGAGGAAGACATAGCAACTGAGTGAAACATGAAGCAGAATCTGCAATAATGTAACAATTACGTGACGGAAGAAGAGGAGGAAAATAAATCTTAAGAGTTGAGATGCAAGCATAAACAACTAAATATGAAACAAATGTCACATACCTGAGATGTTAGGTTTGGTTTAGTTGTTGTTAAGCACAAAGCTACACAATGGGCTATCTGTGCTCTCCCTACCATGGGTATTGAAACCCAATTTTTAGCAAGGTAAGCTGCAGATTTACTGCTGAGATATCAGAGAAGTGAAGGACAAATGTAAGTTTTACCCAATCCTCATCAGGAATAGAACAACTAGAAACAAATAAAGGTTGTAGAAATAGCTGGTCAAATAATGGTGGTGCTCAAGAGAAGTACTGCACATGAAGGAAGTGGCACCCTTCTATTGGTGAAGGAATACAGTCTAAGGCTGTTTTCACCACAGATTGGTTTAGTAGATGTTATTACATGTAGGGATGGAAGATTTGTTCAAAGGCTCAGCACATGCACAAGAACTTTTTAACAGTGACATGATGCATTAGTTATCTGCTCTGTACATATAGATATATACTTCCATATACTGTTTTTATGCTTTAGTTTTTATCCTAACTTTATATTCTCTACTCCAGGCATTCTTTCATATGTTTAATGTTACCAAAACATTGTGGCAGTCAAATATCCTTTGAAAATAATTACCTGTGCATCTCCAGACTTCTCATCATCAAAAAAATAACGCACAACAGAGCCATCAGCATGTCCAGATATGACTCCTTTCCCAGGTAAGCTATAAAAAAACACATCTAAATGACTCAAAACTAAGAGACAAACAGTGTATAGACAGAGGTTAATATAGACTTCTGATTTAGTTCCTGAAGCAGATAACATTTTGGACTTAAGAGGAATCTGTGAAATTTAAAGTACATGCAAATAGACAAAATTATACTATTTAAGGCACACATAAAATATGTTGTTATACTAATTAAGTACAAACAGTAATAATTAAAAATTACAAGGAGATTTTTTGCTTAACTGTAGCTTATTCTCCAAAATGAATAGGGCTTCTTTGCATTTTCTATCTATAAAACTGTGGCAGTTTGTTGTTACGAGACAATCAATATCAGTTATACCATCTTTGTTTACAAAATTTTCAGCCACAGCACTGGTTTTACTGTCTAACGTCTGCAGAGCTTGAAGGTGTTCATTAATTCTGTCCACAGATAGTAGTTACTGTTGCCTCTTAAACCTGGTTTACAACCTGCACAGTCTCAGTGATGCCAGTGCTGTGGCTGAGCATTTTGTTGACAAACACTTTATAACTAATACTGACTGTCTCATACCAACATTCTTACCCAATGCCACAGCTTTTTAGATAGACAAATAAGTCCTATTAATTCCAGAAAACAAACCATACTTAAGTAAACAAAAAATCACCTTGGTATTTTTAATTATTATTGTTTGTATCTACTTAGTATAACAATATATTTTATGTATGCTTTAAATAGTATAAATTTGTCTGTTTTCATGTACTTTCAATTTCACATTGTACAACAATATAATTTTACAACAATTATGTATATATGTTCTTGCTTGAAGTCCACCTTATTACACAAACTCAAGTTAATTTAAAAGCTTTTGTATAAGCCTAAATCAGTTATCAAGTAACTTCTTTGCCCTGATAAAGCTGTAATAACAAAACGTTGGCTTAAATAAAACCAATTATGGTTTCTAAGGTAATACGTTCTGATTTATTTATTCTTTTAACATATGTACATTGAAATATAAATATGCATACTGATGGTTTACAAATATAATCATTTATAAATTTTTAGTAATTGTTTAACTATTATTATAGTTATTTTTCTCAGATATTCCACGCTTTAGACCTTTAATAAAATTCACAAAAACTACACAGTTAAACAACTTATCTAGTTCATATCATAACAACTGTTCTTCAAACAATAGATGATATAAATAGCATCTTGACCATTACCATGCCTGTCATATCTCAACTAACTTGATAAGCCCTGGTATTGGGCAAAAGGATTCATCAGCACTGGATATGGTATGGTTGGCAAATTATTACATTCTTCTTTACTTTCACTCATAAATTCTTATAATATATTTGAAATTATTTTTAGCCCATCAGATGAGATTGAAAAATATATAATAATAACTATACTTGTTATAATAATATTATAGCTTGTACCTACTTGCTCGTTAAAGAAACAACAAAGGAGTCTGTTGCATACAGTGTAGAAGACTTATTCGTCTTTATGTTAGCCACTCGAACCTATAATGGCAAAAAAAATGTTGAAATGTTAAATCTAGTTATTAATAAAACCCTATAAGATCAAGTTAATTATGTACTTCAGAATTCTTTCACTATAAGATACCACAAGAAAATAAAATAATCTATTGTAAGGATAAAAAAAACCTCTTTCCCAGTATCCTGTGAATATCTTAAAACACTCTGCAGGACATTTGAAATTTTAATTTCATGTCCAGCTACGATATCTACTTCTTTTGATTTTTTATTTGTCTACTGCTAATAAATTTTCAAAACTTTATGTGGCAGAAACTAGAACTAAAATAAAAATAAATTGTACAAATGATTGAGGACTCAAAATTAAAAAAAAATTAGTCACAATTGTTGTTGATAATCGACGTGTTCGAAGGAAAACGAAGTTTGATTATAAACAAGATTACGACACTTATGATATACAACATTGTTTATTGACAAAAAGAGGACATGGATAAGCGTTTTGGAATTCTATCAGATTTTATCTTCAGTATCTAAAGCAGAATAAAATTAACTTACATCAGTCTTTATACATTTTCAAAGTACAGTTGTTAAATATAACGATAACTAAACAAATAAAACACTAAACAGTAATCATGGGGAGAAACTACAGCAAGAAAACACAATGA